GTTTAGGGGTTTAGGGGTTCTGGGCTTACAATGCTGTGTTACAGGAATTCTATAAATGAAACAGCTCTTTCTTCAGCTCTGGAACGAAACTTGATGGACCACCGACAACTTTTGACCTCACACACATACCCCGAAGGGTCCAAAGAACCCAGTAAAAAGGTACTGTGCTTGCGGATACTAGTCAATACAGTATTTGGGAGAATATCTGATTATAAGGTACTTGGACCCTTAGGGCTATTGTACGCAGACTTTGGTTATTTATTGATTATTCTCTTATGCAATGCATTCATTCCTTCATACATGCATATACATACGTACGCGCACACAACCAGTACATCTTTAAACTAGGGAGGTATAGTTAAACATATAGATCACGATGAAGATAAGGAAAAAGACAGAAATAAACATAATCATGTAGATATGGATACAGGTAGAGACCATAGCTATGGCTATGGGTTTATATGTATATATATATATATATTTACACACATAAAGACATAGATATATAGACATATATATATATATATACATATATATATATATAGAAGTATAGATAATATACATATAGATGCATATCAAGACATCCAAGTAGAAACAGGTATAGATACAGATGCCGGTATATCTTACACACAGACACAAGCCAATACGACAACACATGTATGCATGCATCGAAACCAAGCCCCAAACCCTAAACCCAAAACACGACGAGTACCCCAGCAAGGGCCCGGGGACGTGTCTGGGAAGCAGTGCTGCAGCCTCCGCATATTCTCCCGCAGGTGAGGCTTGGATGTTTCAGAGAGGTCCTGAGTTTCTCTTCGGAGAGAGCAACAGCATTTTCCCGAAATCACCTTTCCTCAACCGTAACCCCCCCAGGTACCTACTAGCCTACTATATAGGGTACTAGAGCCCCTACATAGTAGGTACCTGGAGGTTTAGGGCAACAACTTAGGCAAGCCAGAAAGTACAACAAGAGGCCATCACTAAATGAACCCTAAACCCAGACCGCTGAGCTGAGAGAGCCCTTAAAATGAACATCCCTTCTAAAACAAACGCAACAGTGGCCAAAGATCCTGATCCTAAACCCTACACCCTACGCCCTACAACCCCAAAACCTACAAACACTATGCGCTAAAGCCTATAAGTCCTAACCCCTAAAATGCCTGTAAATCTTAAAGCCTATACGCCCTATAAATCCTTATCCGTTTGCGGGGAGTC